ATATATACATTTTAAATAACCAAATAAAACCATATATTACTAAATCAGTACCACCGAATTACACTATAATTTTTCAAGCATAGTAACTAAGCTCTACTTTATTGTTTGCAATCTTGTGTGAAAAGTACGAGATTAACACAATAACATGTCAAAACAGCTGAGAAAACCATTAAGGAGACAATCTGAGCTTTCAATTGGCTATTCATTTCATATAAAAGTAAGTGTGTACATATATATAATAAGGGAGCATTTCCAAAAATGAGAAAAAGGTGGGTAAGGGGTCCACTGTGTTTGATTCATTACATGAGCAATATCTTAGCATATAGAAAAGATAAGAGGTTCTTATTTTACATTCTAGCTATAAACTTTGTATTTTGACATCGCAAACATCTGATTTGAACCAGTGCTGCATTCTACATACCACATGACACACAAAAATCGATGTTTGGCTGTGTTTTTTAATATTTACTTTTAAATTAAGAAATTAACTAATGTATAACACTAAAATTTGGATTATAATCTACAATTTGATACCAAACTTATTGACATAAATTCATAAAATAATAGTTCAATAAAATTTTGAATGCAAGTCAACGAATGTGATGACATGGCCTTTGACCCATCGTGATAGTTAAATCCATTACATTATTTTCAACTTACCGTTCAATGAATCTTTTAGCTTTTTCAGACATGGTTGGTGGAACTTCTGGATGAACCTTCAAATAACCAACTTTAAACATAGCTGCTTGAGGGCAGCCCAGCTATAATGAGATTAAAGTGTTTATTGTTGAAGACAAGTCAGTCATATATTATTATTAAAACATCTATTATGCTCCATGTATGAACAAAAAAATTTAAATAAAAAGTTAAACTTGAACTCAGTCACTAAAAATTGAATTTGAACATCCTATCTGATCACATTGTACTAATAGCAATATTTCAAATCAGTTTACTAGATTTTTTACGTTCATAAAAATAACCAAGTTTATGAGATGCTTCATAACTTTCTTGGAGAATTTTCACTTAAGTTATCATCAAGAATTTCACGAACACTCTAAGCAAAACACTTTCACTGACTATAAAACTTGTGCTTTAAATAAAACTGAATAAATGCTAAAATTGAGAATACTAGCTGAAAAAATAAAGTGGTAGACTTCAGTTCTACAAATAACTGTTTTGGGAAAAAAATTGTTTGTGGGCAAATGAAATTCATTTCTAATGTTGTATTCACTCTCAGACAAGATCCATGGAAAAATGAAGAACTCTTTTATAACAGCCTTAGTTAAATTAACCAAAAAAAGATAGTTAAAAGCTAAATACAAACTTCAGTAAAGGGAGGTTTTCCAGTGGCCATTTCAACTATTGTACAACCCAATGACCAGATATCAGCCTGTAATGAAAATATTTTTCTTTTATATCTTTCACACTTCAATTTTTAATTTCAAGTTTTTAATTATTGACTTAAATCATTTAACACATACAGAAACATAGTTCATTCTATATAAAGTAACTTCAGATATTTTTGTTTTAAATACTCCTGATAAACAAATATTACATATCTAAATAACAAATTTATAGTAAGAAGAAATATGTGCAGTTATATTTTTAATGATTCTTAAGCTGGCAATATATATATATTTTACAGTGCACACATACACAACAGCTGATATCCTACTTGCTGGATTTTGCATATCCGCTGGAATGCATCCTTTCTTATTTGTTTGAAATAAACTTTAGTTTCTTAAATCATTCATAAAACTTATTATAATTACCTTAAATCTAAGCACAAGCACTAGTTGTTTAGCTAGAAATGTGAAATCCCACAAAAAAACTTACAGGTGCTCCATATCCACGCTGACCCTTGTCTATTACCTCAGGAGCCATGTACTGAAATGTACCTGTGAAGCAGAATTAACAATATATTAATTAGAACATTTTTAATGCTTCTGAATTTACATAAATTTTTCACATTACATACAAATCATTAAAATAAAACTGCATCAAGCAATAAGAATAGATGAAGTAAAAGAAATAATGTTTTATACAATATCAGAAACTACATAATCATTCTTAACCTTGATTCAGTAAAAAAAACAACAAAAAAAAAAAAACAGTACCAGTAAAGGTATCTGTCACAGGGTTGATACCAGCCAATCTTTTAGAAGTTCCAAAATCAGATATTTTAACAATTCCAGTGTAGGTGTTCACGAGGACATTGTCTCCCTTGATGTCACGGTGAACAATTTTTTGGTCATGCTATTAACAATGGCAAAAATTAGATAATTACAAATACTCGTTTCAAGATGATTGAATTTTACATAAAAATAGAAAAGGTTTTTTCACATTCAGAAAATATTTAGGAACTACTAATTGATCTGGATTAAATTTCATTTTTAAGCATTTAAGACTAAAATGTGAATGACATATAACAGGGAAATAAATTTTTTTTACTTATTTTAACAGATTAAATTACAAAAGTGCAACAGTCAATTTCTTAAACATTTAAGCTAATAATAAATAACAGTAATACAAAATTTTCTGAATTATTAAAACTTACTTTCCTTAAAATCCTTTAGTTACTGTCAGTCAGTTATATCTCCTCACTTCATTCAAAGTTGAAAGTTTATATTTTAATACTTTAACCATTTTCACTTTTTTTTCTTTGCACTTAGCAAGGAGTTGGCCTAAGTAGCAAAGTTAAATTTCTAGTTCTGCCTCCTCAGACATTTGTTTGCAGGTTTGGTTGAAGGTTCAATTTCCGAGTATTATTTTTTTCACCATTATTCATTTCTCTTAACTCATCAGTTGTATGTTTATTTTTACTTTTTTTGCTTTTACTCAGTATTTTCTTCTCTATGCTGTTACAGATATATATAATATTTTTGTTGTAATTTAGTTGCTGGCACAAGCAGTTGCTTACTAACAGGCACTTTAAAATTCATTCCATACCTTTCATATGAGAACATATAAGAAGTTGAGTTGCAACAACCTATTCCTTCAGATTTTCCTTTTCATCATCTTTACCAAAGACCTCTTTCAAGAGAGGTATAACCATGCGAGAGAATTGGGCAGTAATGAAAACTGTTGTAGCAGTATTATGACCACATAGCTCTCAGGACTACTGTAGTTATCACAATAATGTAGTTAAGGTGATAAAGAATAAGATTCAGTAATCTGATTGATGATGCTTTTCCACATGATGTGTAAAATTTTTAAACACTACAGTTGAACGAAAACAACATTTAACAGTACATAATAAATAAATTTGTTGAAAGGAGACTTTTCTCAGTATCAAAATACATTAACAGTTACCCAATAATCTACAATATAAATTTCAAAACTTCAAGCTGGGCAATCTCATATGCTTTGTATGTTTTGACGTATATTTCATCACCATCAGGAGTGCAAGATTTTACAAAAGCTAAGACCTACAAAATTACAGGATCAAAACCAAATTTATATACAAGTTAAAGAATTTCACACCATTTAATGTCAACATATCCCTCTAATGATTTTTATTCTTACTTAAGAAAAATATTATCATCATATTTCAACTATTTCAATGGTTTTAATATAATATTTTTTATCCCCATATTTTGTGAATTTCTTAACAACTGTATCAATAATTCCAAGATTAAAACCACTTTCTACAGCTACATACTTCAATAGTAATAACTTATTGTTAATATATCTGCCTGTTTACAACAATATTTTAAAATCCTATCCACATAATAAAAAGCAGTGATTGTTGAGATTAAATATGACATGATTTTTTATGTGGAGACATGGTTACCAAGAATGGTTTAAGATAAACAGTAGACATCAGTTCATCCTTATTTATACTTACTATAAGATTAGAAAAAAAAAGTAACAATTATTTTTCTCAATTTTATATGCAAATTTAATAAAATTGTCAATATTATCAAAATAATTAACAAAATCACCTATTCTTTTTGCCATAAAAACAAATCAATATACCAGATTTTTATTCTTATATAAATAGGGTCTTAAAATTATGTTCCAAACAAACAGATATTAACAATGAGTTATTATTAATCAAGTATAGCAATAGAAAGAGTTTAATCCTGAAGTTATTGAAAGAGTTGTTAATAACTTTAAAAATATGGAGATAAACACATGACATTAAAACCACTCACTGAAAAGATTAACAATTAAATAATTTTTTCTATATGGTTCTAATTGTTATTTATATAAATAATAATAAAGTGTGAATTTGGGAATATTTATAATGGACAAACGAGAAGGAATTACAAATACAAATTAAAATAACACAAGATTTGTTAAAATAATAAAATAAAGACATCACCTTTCCCTGGACACGCCGATGAGACTAAACACAATTACATGGGGAAAAACTGTTATTCTAGGACAATATAAAGTACTATTGTAATAACATTCTTAAATATCTTGATATAATTAAATAAAAAAAAATTAACATTTTAAATAAGGATGAAAAATTACAGGGACAAGTTGACAGTAGATGGTGCGAGTTAAATTAGTATGCAAATTTGATCATGTGATCCTTTAGTAAGGTATACATAGGTTTTACCTTTTGTAAAATATTACACTCCTGATGATGATGAAGTGAAATGTTTAAACATGTAATGTACGAGACTGCCGCCATGTCTCAAGTTTCTATTTTCACAACAGAGTAAATGTTTTTTTTATGAGACTGAAGAAAGTCGCATTTTAAACATTTATTTACTATGTACTGTTAGACACTAGGTTCCTTCAACTGTGATGTTTATGATTTCTCATCTTTAAAATAGATGATTCTTAAATTTTATTCTAAAAAGAGATAAGTGCTTTTTGGAGTTTGCTTTTCAATTATTTGTGGTTTTAATGTAAACAAACGTGACTGAATAAACAGCAGGACTTTCAAAGAGCTAGTATTAACAACAGAACTAATGCTGTCACCTGCTGATTCTCAAGGTAATAGGTCTGATGAAATAAATGATAATGCTTTATTTTTGTCCATATTACTGTTGTAAGCTATGTCTTCAATGTTTTAATTTAGAAGTTTGCTAGAGGTTGCACATGACACTAAGATTGAGAAAATTTATTAAAGTAAAACTGAGAAGTTTTGTTAAGTATATAGAAACAGGTGTAGAACATAAATACAAGTAATCAGTGAAGTATTCATTGAGTGGTTCATTTTAATGTCAATAGTGAGAGTTATTGCACTTTCTCAGTTTTACTCGATTTATCAACAGATGAATTATTCAAGTAAATTAATAAGTAAGTTAGACAAATTGCACCATTAGTCTCAGAATTTCTGTTGAAATGCTGCTTGTGAACTTAGGTGTACAATTTGTGTCAAAGTGAATGTAGGTCTGCAGCAAACATTATTAAAGGAATAAATTAATCTGTGATCATTACATGGACTTTACGTTATTTTTACCAGATAATCTTACCAGAACCCACCTAACATGAGAACAAACAAAAAGACACAAGATTAGAAAATTCAAATAAACCAATGCATGCAATGATAAAAATTTGTTTCAAATTGGAGCATTGTGATTTTTCCTGAAATTCTACTAAAATAGTGTAACCGTAATGCATCTTAATTAAAAGCCAAATAAGTACTTCACGGTAGATACCCTTTCAACTTTAATACATATTTAAGTTTCAGATAGAAGAAAACTATAAATTTTGCTTCAAGTCCCAGTCACCTGAAAACTATAGCTTTCACTTATAAACCCAATCAAGTTTTAAATATACTTATTTTATGGTCTTGCACACACACACACAAAAACATGACCACTCTTGTTATACAAATTAAACTATCTCAACTGAAGAGACTTTTTCCCTGACAAAAGTTATATATGTTGCATGATGCACCACCACTGTTAATTCCCTTCTTAACATTAAGCATCTCAACCATATCTCCTCTAACTCTTCTTTTTTTCAAGAGAAAATTTCAGAGATCTTAACTTTCCTTGTATGACAACCTTTACATCCCAGGTATCATTCTAGTAACCATTCTCTGAACCCATTCTAACAATTAAATGTTCTTCCTAAGGTAAGGCACCCAAGATTGGTAAGTTGTCTAAGAATGTTTTCCTGCTGTTGCTACAGAATGACATCAAAGTGATTTTTTCTGGCATTAACTAGTAGACTAATAACTTTCTTGAATTTGATTAAACATCTCTCAGCATTAGCAAATAAAGAAATATTTCTAACCCAAAAATAAGTCAAAGTTCCCTGGATGGAAGTTATGTAAATTCATGATCAATGAAAGGTTATCGTAGGACAAAAAAGTTGTTTCCCTTATATGCAATTGTAAAAAATGCCCATAAAAACAGCAAAACATAAAAAATTATATGTATCTCCTTATGAGCCCACTGAAACTTCATACAAAATTTGAAGATCCAGCAACAGGGGGACAAATAGTGGTAAAAAACATGAAAACACAAAATGCAAAACAGGAAATTTTTTGTATCTCCCCATGGACCCAACAAACCTTCATACTAAATTTGGTGAAGATTCAGCTGCAGGAGATGAGGTAGTGGTAAAAAAAACAACAGTGCAAAATTGCCTATAAAAACCGCAAAATGTGAAACTGAAATTTTTTGTACCCCCCACATGGACCTAATAAACTCCTACCAATTCTAGAGAAGATCTATCCATACCCTGCAAAGCAATTGCATGGACAGACAACAGACAATACTATTATATTTACAAAGCTTCTTTCAATCACAAACCTTTCTCAATCCAATCTTAATTGCACATATTTCTTGCCTTGCCACAGATACCAATCACATTTTCTAGTTATACTTATTTCTTTTAGAAATTCAGTGTCTCTTTTAGTGTAACAATGTAGTTCTTTTCATCAATAACATCAAGTACTGTAACTGTAAAATTAGGTTTTGAAAATACTTCTTTCTTAACTAATTTTGTCATTTCTCCAATCATGCTACACAAGTCATTTGACAGAAAGCAAACCACTGGAGTATCTGTTTGATCTGAAGAAGAAATGGCTGAAGCTGCTGTGCTATATGTTTGGAAAAGTTTATGTAACTAGACTTTTACATGCTTATTTTTCACTGGTGTACTAATGCTTTGTTTGGTATTTTCAGAGATCTAACTGTTTCATGTACATCTCTCTATGTTGCTCTATTCTACTAAAGTTCTGTCACAAATAGGAACACTTTATAGCCAATGGTGACACTGTGAAACTTATAATTATTTTCATGAAAATTTTTTTTTGAGTCAGGCATATCTTTAAATAGATAATATAAACTACATACGATTGCATGAATCTTTAATTCACTAACCAAGGCACCTGATTTGAAGTTGCTGTAAAAATGAGAAGTCTACATGATCTAATGTTTATGAACAGTGTATCATAATCACCAATCTTTTAATTTTTATAATTTTAAAGAATTTCTTATTTCCATTGGTCACACACACACGTTAACCTGCACCATTCATTTTTACAGCTAGTCTATTTTGGAATACGTTTTAAAATGACCTATTATCAGTTTGATCATAAAATTTAATTTCATTATCCTTGCTATTCAACTACATTATTGGTTCAAAATCAGAAATCTAAATCCATTTTGAAGCTTTTCCTATCATAATTTTATAAATTAACACTAAACAATATTGTATAAATTGTATAATGGCACTGGAGTCCTTTCTAGAATGTATATGGTGAACTTGTAGCAAAAAAAAAACATTTTTCAGGGTTATTAATATATCAATACAGAAACAGTTCCTTGTGTTTCTGCCACAAATGTGACATTTTTTGCAAAACAAATAAAGATCTGTCTTGTATTCAATAGCTACTACTTTTCATTAATACATAGATTTAATAATTTTCTTAAGCATTCAAATCATAATAATAAATTAGAGGCAATATGACATGCATTTTTTGCTACATAAACATCAAATGATAATATATTGCAAGAGAATGGAGACAAAAAATGTTTAGTTGATTCCCAAACAGAAAATAACAAGCAATAGAAAGCTTGCTTAATATATAACAAAACATCAGACGTTTGACAATAATAAAACTTCACATGGTTTGCAAGTATTTGCACATTTGTTTGTGCAGTAATATAAAAATTAAGAATAACAAAAGTACATTTCAAACATTTGTACATTCACCAATTTTGCTGGCATAAAAATGTTCAAAGAATCTTTATCTTTAGCACAAGTCTGTGCAGAAACATCTTGAAATATTTACTATTATTATTATACTTGGTGGCATATAAAGGTTTTTCTATACCTGGTAATCCAAGTCTTTGTAGGGTTGAAATACAGTTAACCAATTATAGTATTTTGTTTTTAAGGGACAAAAGATATCTGTAATTTACTTCCAGGTGTTATTGTTAAATCACTAACTAAAACTTTGAATTTGTTATCTTTTGCAAAATCACAAAATATTTGTTAATATCTTGGTTATCATGAATTACAATGCCATTTAATGGTTTATCTGGTTTTGTAATGAAAAAAATCCTGTCTATAACCAGGATATTTCAAAACTTGAAATTTACATTTCTTCAAATGTTCAGGTTTTTCATTATTATTGTAATTATAAAGTGGACTGAAAAACTACTTCAGTTATCAATGTAAATAAGATTAAACTGCAAATTTTCAGACAAGATTTTATTAGTAATGAGTTAAATCAATATCTCAAAAGAATAAGATAATTTTCTATTGTTTAATTATCCAAACTTCTTGCTAGCATTGTTTACTTCAAATTATATTAGTAATTTGAAAAATTCTGTATGCAATTACAAGGTTAATCTTAAAAAGGAGCATAAGAAGCAGATTTAGTTTGCCAACACTGTCATTTTTTTTTTATTAACCTATGTTTTGATGCAACATTTCCCATGCAGTACTTCCCAGAAAAATCCTTTTTTTAGAAAATGTTCAGGTTTTCTAACATTTTTTCAATGAGTTATGAATACTAAGATTACTATTTACTAGCACAAACAACCACCCGTAGGGGGGTGGCATTTCTGTTAGTGATATCAAACAAATAACTTTAGAATATGAGCTATGTTACTACTAAACTTCACCCAGAATAATATATAATAATAATATACAAGAAATAATTATGGAAATGAATATAAAATGTAAAGATTATGGGACTGCTCTCACTGAACTGTACAAAAATAAACTGCAGAGTACAGTCATGTGTTTATAGTTTACACAGAGATTAATAGTTATTCAACCAGTCAGACAGTGCTACATCAACAAAATGCCTATAAATGTACAAGAAGTCATAGCCTGCTGTAAGTGTACATTCATGGCTCCCAGGATAAAGATGCCACATGTACAAATTAAGGTCTTTGCTGGTAAAGGACAAATAGGTTAGAGTATATCTTATGTTATACACAACAAACCAAGAGACATCTTGTCGATGACTTAGATGTAAGTGACAATGTGAATGTGACCTCCAGAATAGTAAGATGCAAATACACACACACACACACAAATTTCCAATAACATATTTATAAGAGCAGACACCAAAACATTGTTCATACCGAAAATCAACTATATATATGAAAATAAATAAACATTCACTATCTTATGACACATTTGAGACAAATTTCCTACTGTCTCCAATTTTAAAATTAGTTGGTGGATAAAGAAGGAAAAAAAAAAGTTATGTACAGTTGGTAGCAAAAATTGAATATTACCAAAATAAAATTGTATATAAGTGATAAAATCTACATTTTTAGTGTCCTAAATTCTTATATCATATACAGCTATGTTCAGTATAGTGGTTAAGGTTTATTCTTTTTTTTACTAATTCAAGATTCAGCTGCGAACTTACCAGATACTTTAAACCTTCTAATATCTGTTTTGTATAGTACACAATAGTGTGCTCATTATCTTTCAGAGGACCCCATTTTGATCTTAGTAGTTGAGACAAGCTTCCTGGAAAACAATTATTTCATTTTCATATACATATCAGTTTTTTTTTTAATAAAAACATTGCAATAAATAAGTTTGCGCTTATTTTTCAAAATTGCTAGAGCAACAATAACATTAAATGCATAATGAGTTATGCTGCTTATGAAATAAACAGTAAATATTTTTAATTGATTCATTCAATATAACTAGAATCGTTAGTGATGTTTAATAATCCCAATACAGGACTATAATTTTTCTCACACAGAGCTTTTTCCAATAAACCTTTTGATACAAATACTTGTGTAGACATATAGAAAAGAGTAATGGCAGTGAATAATATGCGAGAAATTTCATAAAAGATCTGTCTTTCTTATAATGAATTCAAAATACCTTTGCATAAAGATCACAAAGAAAAGCTTAAAACTTACTCAAAAATACAACCATACCTTTGCTTTCATTATATTTAATGTACTTTTTCTGAACATGCTGCTAAAGTTTTTGCCAAACTGAGAAACAACCATGAACTTAGTTTTATGAAAATTGTTTACATGTTTTTAGCCAAAATCATTCAGAAAAAAACATTAAACCACTTCTATACTATGAATAATGACTCTACATCTACAGCTTCATTTTGGTACCACTAAACTAAGCTTAAACATTATTTTGTATAATGAGTGTTCCTACCTCCAGGCACCTGCTCCATGAAGATCTTGAAGAAACCATCTTCACTAACTGAACCCTGATATTTCACAATATTCCTGTGACTAAGCTGGGAATGAAGCTTGATTTCTTCATGTAATGGCTGAACATCTCTGTAAAAGTTATTTTAGTTTGCATTAAACAAAGTTAAAAGTTATTTTATTTCACATTAAGATCAAACTAGTGCATAGCTTTCCAGTGTTGAGTGCAACTTTGCATATCAAGTTTAAATTTAAGTAAAGATAGTAATTCAAAGTTTTTTTTCTCAAGTGTTTTATAATGGTTTCCAATTTTTGCAACAGTTATTTAGAGTAATTTAAAAAGAAACAATTTTAAAATACTTCAACTTTTATTTTTGTTTCTAGAATTTTTCTGTCCCTCCCAAACTGCAGGTTTAGATTTACTCAGAAATGTCATCCCTTAGAAATTCTTATCCATGTTTGTTTCTCACACATCTTTCCTCCTCTTCCACTGATTTTATTTCTGCTACCCTGTATAGCCAGCTTTTTATGATGTCACAAGTGGGTTGACAGTAAGTAATAAATCTTATCTTTGAAAGCAGATAGAACCAGTAGCTAAAAAGAAGAAAATATTATTTTCTAATCATTTCAATGTGAAGTAAATAAAGTGATGTAAGCAGTAATTTATGGTTTCTGTCAAAGCTGCTAGCAAAAGTTCCCACAGAGCTAATAAACATAGTATTATAAAATAAACTTTACAAAACTTAGGAACAGGCCACAAACCTAGAAATTTTCTAAGTTTCGTTTGACATTCTTTTGTTTGTGATAATCTTTTTCTTTTATACTATGTCTGTTTGTGTTTGTAAGCTACAGGAATATTCTTCTATGAGAAGGTGTCAGGTAGAGATATTCATGGTTAGTGAGTGTGATAAACTAGTTCTACAATGGTAAACTATTCAGATGACAAAAAACCTTTTTTTCTATTGCACATATATATAATAGTAAATTCATTGTTGTTCAAACAACACGTATAACACCTCCTTTGAAAACTATTATAATTATCACAGAGAAATTGAGCTTGTCAAAATATAGTTGAAAAAAATACTACTTATATCAGTGTACAACTAAAATAAAAGTGGAAGTTGTTTCTACCAGTTAATGTTTTAGCATTCATCAAATAGTAAAATTGTTTTTTTCAGCTACATAATTGCTTCGATGGGTAAAGGTAAATAACAAATATAATTAATTTATGAATATGAAACAAGTCAAAACTCACTGAATATATAAAATGAAATTTTCAGGTCAATAATAAAAAGAAAATCCAATTTCATTTATTCAGTTCATATTTTTCAATAGTTACTTTCATTATATGTCAAAGATTGTACAAACATATGAGAAACTGAGTGCACTATTCTAGAGTAGACAGATCCAATTTTTTTAAATAACACTATTGGGTACATCACAAAATGTTAGACACAATAAAAAAAATGGCATCATTAAGATGAAAGGAAATATTTTTAATTGATTTTAAAAACATGATTCACAACAAAATTCCTGAAAAATATAAAACCAAAAAAAATTATACAAATACTAAATTGTGTCATTTCTTTCAAATACAGGAAATTTAGTTAAGCATTTTAAGTGTGAAACAAAAAGAACATGGGGATGTCACCGACACACTACTAGCCTAGAGAGGGTTAATTTAATGTTGACAAATAACCGAAAAGTCAAACCCAAGACCAAGTGTTACATTTAATTATCACCCATGAACTCTCTCTCTCATTATTAGATTGGTCAATTTGACCAGGTTTGTAACCACAAAGTGACCATCAGTTTCCATACTATAACTTTTAATACGTTTGTGTATCTTCATGAAATTTGGCAAGCTTTCAGCAAACATTACAAGTCTTTTGTACACTAAAAATAAGTTTTTTTTATCAAGTATTTTAAAATAAATACTTGTCCATGAGTATATGGAGTAAGAGTGTTCACTGCTCTGAGTACAAAGTGATTTTTCATGTTAATATCAAAAATACTTTTCTTCATGAAAATTTTCAAATCTCATTTGCATCACTTCTAAAGCCACCTATGAAAATAAAGTTTTTTCAGTAAAACTATATTTTACCTATTATTTTATCTACCATAACTCTATATTTGTTCAGTTAGTTTGATTAGCATAAAAAATGAAATAGATCTAAATTACTCTTTTTTTATAGAATGACTGCAAGTTGTAACATGAAACTACAATTGTTTATCCTAAATAGCTTAAAACTTGTAACAGTATACATCTGTTTATACTTAATTTTGTTTTATTGCCCTTTGAACTGTGTCTAACTAATAAACCTGTTCTCCAAATTGTAAATCACTTGGCAAATGTGCAGCTTATGTTACCATATTGAATTACATAATGCATGAGCTGCTTGCGAGCATACCTAATGAAGATTTTTTTCTTATTATTATTTTTTCATTATCTTGCCTAAATTAACAAGTTTCTAATTTTTACATTTTAGTCAATATTTAATAAATAAAGAATACACATAAAAAACAAGAAATATAGTACTTAACTGGGTCGACATTTTTTGCTGTCTACTATCGATGAAAGTTAAGCCTACTTTTTTTTTTTTATACTAATGGTGCTACTACACATAATAATCTTTATGTAATAATTAAATAATGCATATAATAACACAGAATAATAACACACACAAAGCAAAGAATGTCGGATCGTTGTCATAAAGTTTCTGGTTTTCTCACTACACAATAAGAGCCATTAAAAATTCAGCTAAGCTTGTCGATGTAAATAATGCGAGAAAAAAGTTTCAAACCGAAGGTGAAATAATTCTCTGTACAAAAAACAATGTAATATGATACACAATTTGACATATTACAACTTTGGTTTTCAGCTGGTTATAAATAATATAGTATAAAACATTACAGGGAACTATTAGCAAGAGAAGATTGACAGGTGAGCATGGCAAGAGGGTCCAATTTTCTAGTTTACGGCTCCATAAACAAGTAAATTGAAGGTTGCTTTGCCTGAGTAATATACATTAAATTCCATATTTATCGAAGCGGTGGTAAATAAGTTAGAAAATAGGGAAGACCTAGAAAGTAAATGTTACAATTCCGTTTCTATGGAAGATTGAGGACTTTTTAAAGTATTTCCTTATAAAATTAAAAACTTAAATCTTATATAATATTAAAACATGATTTATTAACTACACTTTGATGCCAAGTTTATATACATACAATTATAATAAAATAGTTTAATTAAGTTTTCAAAGAAACTAAAAAGTCATGAATGTGCACTTTGACCCGTCTATAAAATATACGACTATTTATACAAAACAATTTAAATACAAACAGACACAAAAACAAACGTTTAAATTTGTGCTTTCCTGAGAGTGTAATATCAATGCAGATGGTTAAATGTAATTTTTATTTTAAAAGAAAACAAATTAATAACTAAAATTCGTTTTGAAATGTTAAAGACTTCATTTTTTGACTGTTGAAATATGAAAGTTTAACTTCCACTTGTATCTACTAGATCTGTGTAAAACAGATAATGGTTACAAATTTCACTATTATGAATCAAATACAAATATGACAACAACAAAAAATTGTGTTAATTACAGAAATGTTTGTTTTATACAGGTTTCATACACCATTTTGAAAAATAAAGTCCATGACTTTTCAAAGACATTTACTCAAAATTTCATGATTTATTTTGGTCATCAGAATACATTTATACATCTTCAGATAGATCAAGTAAAAGGCAGATTACAGTTTAACAAAATTTATTTTAAATTCTTAATCACTTCACATTGAGTCAAATTACACATGATAAGCTATTTATTTTCTCAGTCATATAGCGTATGAAATGTTACACACACACATTATATATATATATATATATATCAATATCAAACATCACAACTGATGTTTAATTTCTGCCAGCTTATTGTTACTTACAGTATCAATTTTTCCTGCCTCAATTAGCTTGTCTTTGGCAGATCTTTCTTGTATATTACACTTTGCTAGCAAGGTTTTCAACTCCTTCACATTTTGAGTTACTTCTGCCTTCTCAGCAAAACTATTTGCTGACTTTGTGAGACCGTCTGCACCAGTTTCTATCCCCTTTTCTTATTTTTTAACTCCCAAATTTCATCCATTACACCCTCCGTCTTTAACTTTTTATTTTGAATCTTCTGTCCATCCAAACACATCATGTACTTCTGTCTAGCTTCTGGCACTGACACAATCAATTCTTTAGTTATATTAACCTTCAAAGGACCTCCGAGTGATACAGTGATCAACAAAAGTCCTCCCTCTCATATTTAGTTAGCACACCTCTTTGTTCACAGAAAAACCTGTCTCTACTGAGGCTTGGCCATGGGATAGGACTAATAACCCTTTCATTATGTACCACAAATTTTTAAGGCCTTGTCTACCAGACAGGAGATCAAAATACAAGCTATCAATTCTGTTTGTTTCAATTTTATGATCAAGGGAAATGAATATTGACTCATATTCAGGAACATCATCATCAATAAAGTTTACATACTGAAGTTTAATGGCATCACAGTTCAGTTCAATCACTTTCTGTGCCTCAGCCAAACATTTTAAAATACCATCAAATTTCTGAATGTCTGATAAGTGGCAAGAAATAGCATTATAAGTTGTGCAATAAAGATAAATACATTGATCTTCATCTGTAACTGATGATCAATTAACATTTTAGGTAGAAAGAATTTTTAGGGTTCTTAACATCTTTTTTTTTTTGCACCCCTAATACATATTCGTTTACAGACGTTGCAAAATTCTCTGAGCTACAGGAACATTTTCAAGCTATCTGTGCTTATAAAACCAGAGTAGGAAGATACTGAGCCTGTAATTGATGTAAAGTCTTCCCATCTAACTGGAGTGTCATTGAATAACCTGAAACATCTCTGGAAGAAGTTGTCCAAGTGCTAAGCTGATTCTGCCATCCCTGTCTTGAATGCACAATGAAGAAAGTGTAGCCCACAACTGCCCAAGCTTAGGAAGGAAGTTTTATCAGTGTCATACAGTGGTTTTGCAGCTTATCAAGGAACTTCCAATTCACATCAGGATGGACCATCCATGGAAAACTCAAATAGTAAATAAATGAATCATCAGATTGTAAATGATGAAAGTATCATTACGGTGGACCATCCATGCAAAATTCAAATGGTAAATAAATGATGCAAGTATATGAGTTAGTCAATTGCATCATGAGTACAAAATTACCAACCTGCAAAAGCTTTTGATTACTCAGATAACTGGTGCCTTCCAGAAAACTATGCAGTAGATGATCAGCAGTAGCATGTCCCATAAACTGTGATGCTAAGTACCTCATGACAACCTTACTTGTGTTTACATCCCAAATGACAAACTACAAACATTATAAAACCAATCAGCATTCACACTTCAGCAAAATATTAAATAAATTAAAAAAAAAACTTGTTTACTGTTTAGTTTTTTTATAAAAATGCAAAAACGATTTTAATAAATGTATTACCATCCACCACAGCCAAGATTTACCTTCATATTTTAATATTAAAATTTTATTGAATTCACATATTACATAAAAACAACAAAATTTGCTATTATCAATTTCATGCTGAAAACAATTAAATATTAAATGAATTACCTAAGTACATGCCAATCTTATTCATTCACTTGTTTTCTCAACAGGGTTGAAAAGTAAGGAGCCAATCCAAAACATATGCTGTTTTTTTCATGCCACATGAAAACTTTCTTGCTATGTTACTATCTGTACGAGTAGTGATTCTGAACAGCATTTAATGTCAACAATATTTCAGCTTTTAATGTGTCCGAACGTGACACAAAATTGGCAGTGTCAGCCTTTGCCATGGATTTTTCTGGTATTGCAACTGTAGTATCCACTGATACTGACTGTTTGTAATTAATGTGTATGAATTAGTCAATTGCATCATTATTAGAAAATTACCAACCACTTTCACTTCTTTTTCCTTTGCTTGGTTGATGTGATTATTGCCTTTCATATGACTTTTAACAGCTGCTTCTCCCATATTAGATGTCAAATGACCACTGGCAACACAAACATTTTGCTTTGCTATTGTCACCTTTGTCCTGCATAATTGATGCTTTGGAAGCTGGGTGTCCCACCCAGCTTTCTTGGAAATTTCACTTTTCAGGTATCTTTTCTTTGTAACACTTCAGTTGTAACATCACTCTTTACAAATGTGAGTCGATTCAGCATCAATGATGTGTGTGTGTGTGTGTGTGTGCGCGCGATTGACAAACAATATGGCTACCTGAACTGAGCATGTACTTAACAAGTAGGTCAGTTCATCACAGACATTCAATCAAGTTTAAGTATATTCACACCATGGACAGATCATGAGTTATGAGGCTGACATCACATTACTTTAATAAAGGAATAACTTTGTTTTTAGTCATACTTAGCTCTGTAGGATACCTTTTATTGGCTATAAAAAAATTCCATGACTTTTATGTTAAAAACCCGTTTTTTCCAGGATTTCCAGGCCTGGAAAACATTATTTTAAAATTTCATGCCTTTTCCAGGATTTTAATGATTGTACCAACCCTGTTCATAGAGCAAATCCACACTGGACTATCTTGCAAGGAATCAAATCCTGGATTTCAGTGTTGTAAGTCTGATAACTTACTGATATCCCATTGGGTGACTAGAAATGCTTGAACTGTATTAAACAGCAAGTTCTTCAATTCTATACACTTATCCACCCTAGCCTGAACAACAGAGTCCAAATATCTATCATGTAGAAATACCCAATATTTGAAGCCCATAAATTTTCATCATGAACAAAAAAAAATACCATGTCTCTATTAACCATAATCATGCATGAAATTTAAAGACTACCAGAGGTCTAAGTTCATCCTTTTATCTTTGAAGTGTGAATTTATAAATATTTATAAGTTAATTACTAAATTCTAGTGACTAAAAGCCAAGAAGGAAATATGAAAAAAGTCAACTTGCCCAATGTTTTTTTCTGGTATTTCTTTGATGGCTAGTCGAATCTGAGTGTTTAAATCCCTAGCTGCATAGACTATACCATAAGTACCTTTACCAAGAACAGTTCGATTTCCTTGTTCATCAAGTTCATATTCATACTGAAATACACAAACAATAAGAGTATTTACAAAGAGAAACATATATATATATATATAAAAGCATAAAAAAATTCAAGAAAGCCTATGTGTAGTACTCTTCTAAATCTGGTTTATTTTCTAACAAGACCCTCTACTTATTCCTTTAAAAAAATATAGTAAAACAAAGATAGAGAAAAAGGGTATTTTTTATTTTGTTCCATATACTGCAGGTGAACAGACATTTTGTGAATAATATCTACTACTGCTTTGCTGGTTAAACATGATGCTATGAAAAAAAAAATCTACCAAAAGCTAAAACCTGTTTCCTTGTTACAAAACATACAAACAATATTATTTGAAATTCTTAATTCTTTTTACTATTTTCATTTAACTTGGAAAATATACATCACTGCTAACTCATCAGACCAAACACTGAAATTTGACTATCACTCTTAGAATGTATGCATGGTCCCCAAGTTATTAGCATTATAATTGTATGTTAACAGAACACGAACAACAGATCAACAGTCCAGAACACTATGCACAGGGCCATGCTTTGTTTCCTTTAAGAGTTAATGGTAACAGAAAATGTTTAGATATTTACATCTCAGTCCTTTTGGTTTCACTGCTCTTAATTTATCGAGAACACACACAAAACAAGTAAGGGTATTTTATTAATTTGTATTACAATATTTCAGTGTTATTACACTTTTACTAGGAATTAAAATTACAAGTACTGTATAAACTGTACAGAATAAATTTTTAAAGATCATTTCAATTATGTTTTCCCACTCTTATTTGTACATAGAATGAATATAATCAAACTATGAATGACAGCTGTAAACAGCTAATAATGTTTACATGCACACCCTTTGAGTATTCTCATTATTTATTGAACTGATCATTTTCTGCCATATATAGATTCACAAATACCTATATAATAATTTGTAAGCATTTCATTTATTGTACAAAAGAAATCATGTAACATGTTTATTTCAATTACAGTTTACTATACCATTAAGAATATTTTTTTCCAAATTTATATGAAACAAAGAAATGGAAAGGAAGTAACAATCAGCAAAAAAACTATATATCAAAGGTTAAAGACAAGCACTATGTTAGAATTTTAGCAAAACAATTCCTGTTCTTTGAATGGCATAAGTTTTTGATAATTATGTAAATAATAGGGATGCATGAGTAGTAAAATTGGCCGAATACCCGATCACTAGGTTTCGGCCAGGGCCGGGGGTCAACTAGAACCAAGTTCTCCACTTAAGTAGAGTTGACTTAACATTAGGCCTAATTTTAATAATTATTTTAAAATATAAGTACATATGAAACATCACATTTGCTCAGTTGGTATTTAAACATATTTGAATGATAATGAATTTATGTTTAGTACGTTAGACCCATTCAAAAAATTTAGTAGTATATTAAGTTTGGTAGATCTGTAACATTTATTAATTAAAACCTAAAAATTTAACTGCAGCTAAGAACAGAATCAGTTTTTACATCTTAATATGTTCTTTTAATGCTAACTCATGAACAAAAATTAGCCTGTCACAAATATAAGTTATACAACACATCTCTCAGTAAATCTGAAGAATTTAGAAATTTTTCCTTCCATAATAACAATATTTTGGGACAACATGGGACCTACTGGTCCATCTTGGCTGTTCCATCCACAAATATTTGTTTTAGTGACTAATACACTTAATCCACTAAAACACTAGTTTTAAAGACTTGTATGTACAACGTGTGCACACAAGGCTTCAAAACTCCAGCCTATCGTTGCCTAGAGAAATAAAGAAATTATAACCTCTAGATTTACTGCTATATGAAACTTTTTCTGCTGTTCTATTAGAAATATATTCACTCAATGAAGTTCTAAAATAACAGTATCACATACTTTGATGGGATACTTTCTAGCACATTTTTGAAATAAAAACATAATATTATGCGGTAAATTTTATTATTAGTAGCAAAACAGATGTCATAACAGACCCCCCCCCCTCTTTAGTATACTTTGCATTTCAAATAAGAATCCTCAGATCTATTCTCTTTGTGCAATCTGAAATAAGATTTGACAGATTTTAGCTGGTATCATAATCTATCCCAGATGACAAGTTTTCCTGTTGTAGAAAAAATCTTGCAACTGTGACTTCTATCATACAACATATCCGAAACATTATTTATACACCTGGGCATCCTTGACATGTGTTGACATAAACAATCAAAGACAAAGAGTAGGAAAAAAATTAAAAATAAACTAAGTCAAAAGGTAAAGACAGGAAATTACACATATGACCCAAAGAAGATACTTTCAGATTATTCAACAGAGATAAAAGATATGCATACATTTCCATTTTTTAGTTATAAACATTTTACTATACTGCACATAGATAATAATAGCCAGAGTTATTTTAATGATATGGTAGAGAAAATGGAAAATATAAACACTTACTTTAAAAAACTTTGATATTTATTTAGTAGGTTCTAGATATTATACTTAACATGAAAATAACCTTGTAGGTGAACTATTCAGGGTCAGAGTGCAAATAACTGTTAATTAACAAATTTTTAGTAAAAATAATAGACAAATTCCAAATATTGTACTTTTTCTGAAACTACATACTTTTAGGAAAGATTTTATCAAATTTCATGAGAGTTATGTAACTAACCTACTAACAATGTACGTACATTACTTTGATAGGGTTAAACAGTTACCAATATTATGCAAGCAGAAAGTAAGCATGTCAGAAATATGAAATGAAATACAGTTTTCCCACCAAGACAGGCAGAAGATCACATCAGTGTGTAACACATATTTCAATGTTGTAAAAAACAGAATACTAGCTTTTGGATGAGTTAAAAAACAACAACAAAACATCCTGTTTGACCACTTTTGGTTACTTAATATAGAAATAATGTTTATAATTTCCTTTATTACTTTAGCATTCACAACAAACATATTCATGATTGATGTTTAAAATGTCTTTTACTCACACAGTAATCCTATGTATATTGAAATTTCAAGAATATGCAGCTGATGCCACTAATATATTATTGTGACTTATTCAGCCAGAGAAGCCATTTAAAACACTAAGCAATAAATGTAAATAATTCACAAGAATAAATTAACCCTCTTGCTATAGGTAGGTCAAAATGAGCATGTTATGACCTTTTACAGAATTACATTCAAAATTTAAATTAAATATTTTATCATTGGATATGAATAAACTTAGCATATATATAGCTAATAGAATAAATTTTAATATAAGTTTTAAGTTTTTTATTGTATAAGGAAATATTTACAAAAAAATCATCAATCTCTACTTATATGAGTATTGTGACACTCGTTCTCCAGCTCTTCTTCTTTCATTCAATTTTGTTTATGGAGTCATAAACCATAAGATCAGACCCACATCAAACTTTTACACCCTCTAGTTCATAACTGCCAATAATTTTTTCTGACATTTATACTGTTTATATCACTGTTGGTAATGCTCAGTAATGCCCAAATTACCTCAGTGGTCAGAGTACCCAAACCTCAAGCAGAAGTCTCGCATTCAAATACCAATACAGTTTGATTTTTTCAATTGTTTTTTATTGACAAGTGTTCATGTTCAAAGCAAAGTCTTTCAATATTTGGAGGAACACAGATACAATGACAATTTAAATTAAGATTCTGTTAACACTGAATTTCAAAAACTGGCAGGTTACAAGGCTCAACTGTCATGCGGAAGTCTCACATTCAACTCCCAGTTGAATCAGTATTTTATGCTGTTGTTTTTTTCATAAACAATCATATTTACAGCAAGCTCCTTCAATACCATTATAGATCAAATCAGGGATCCAAGATACTGGTTAACATTTGATATAAAAGCTATCTCAGCTTCTTTTTTTAAATGAACACTGCTAACACCATCTATGAAATTAATTCTAAATTAAGATTCTGAATAAACCCAAAAATAGTTCAGAAACAGTGCAAGAAAGAAAACATTGTTTGGCAAAAGAAAGAAGTAGACTGATGGTAAGAAAAAGCAAGAAATCTTAGCAAAAATTAGGATAACTGAAACAGAGGGAAAACAATTGACATGAACAAATGAAGCTCTAGAAGAAACAACAGCAAAGAAGACAAACTGATGCTGAAAGACACGCAAATGGTAAAATAAATAATAATATAATAAAAATGTTTCATGAGGCACGCACAAAAAGCAGCTCACAATAGCTTATGAGTAATGTAATTTGATAGAGTAATATACCTAGACTATATATAGAAATTTTAATCTGGTTTTAGACAACCTATCATGTGCTTAATCAGTAATTTCCTGTTTTAAATTTATTTTTAAAATACACTACAAACAAATCAAAAAATGGTTTATATACCTTTATGGGACCTGTATGATTATCTGAGTTCAGATCTGTAATTACACTTTCCTGATCTACAGTCATCTCCAACAACAAGTCATAAAATCTAGTGCGCATACATGCTGAGGGGAAAAACATCTGAAAGTCATCAGAGTTCTGAAGAACGTATAAAAAGAGGCATCGTTCATCCCTTTTGTACAAACTGCAAAGAGTACAACAATTTTAAAACCAAAAAAATGTAAGTAATAAAAATAGTATAAAACATCATTAACTTTTTTCTTATTGAACTTGGAGACCTCAAGGATTTACAACATGAGCAAATGAAGAATATAATTATTAGGTGGCATTCAATAAAGCTGAAAACAGAAAAATAACATGACAATGCTGAAAATATCTAACCACAGTACATACAATGCAGTAACATACAGAAGAAACATCTTGAGCTTATCTATCTTATATTATCTTGAACTCAAAGCTCTGAAAACAACCAGTATTCTAGTCAGGCATACATAGAAGGATGCTGCACCCCACAGAAATTTCTGAGTACCCCATTACTTTCTGGATGTCATTGAATTCTCCTATCAAATTTCTGATCTCCTCGAACTTTCATTGCCATTCATTCCTTCCTTTGCAGTAATAAGTTTTTGGCTAGTCTTGTTGTGATCATTCAGTTTTTTTTTATCTTTGGTCTTTTCTGTTATTGCTTGTATTACTATATGGCCACATCCATTTCATTATTTACCACTGTGATGCAAGTGTTTAAAAATGCCAACCACAAGTTCACTCGTAAAGACATGATCTAAGCAAGAGAGCAATTTAAGGAATATTCTAGGTAAGAACCCTTTACTTACAAGCTATTTATGTGGTTGAAACATTTATTCTATTCTACAAATCATAAAAACCATGTATAAAAATAAATATTTTCATATTTTGATACTACTGAAGATTTTGGTAATTCATCATACTATAACATTACCTAACACTCTTGATAGAATTATCATGAAAAAGCCATTCATGAAGCTTATGACATTTCCCCTTTAGAGTGTCTAGACAAAGATTGGATATCTGAATAGATTTTTCTTCAGCATCCATGTTGACAGTCACATAGCTTGGCATATACACTTTAGTCGGTTCCAGGATCAATATCTGGTGGCAGAAAAAAAAAAAGAAAAAACAGAATTTGAAAACATTTTTCAACATTCAGGAATTCGGTATTATAATTCCGATTTTCAAATTACGTACTGAAAATGTGATCAGAAAGAAAATGTCTGCCATTTGATAAAACTAATAACCCTGTTTTAAAAGTTATGCATTTTTCTTAGGATAATAGATTTTTAATTTCTAAGGATTTTCCATTTTTCAAGCACTAATAGGGACTGAAAATTAAAATTACCATAACAGTTTTCAAAGCTTTTGACATGTTAACTCTCTGTTATTTGAATTAAATACAAAGTATTAAAATATAATGTTTTACCATATGTACACTTAATATAAAGCTGATTATCATTGAAGGTACTTCATTATATAAACATTTTCTATATTTTTAACTAAGATTATAGATTTCTGAGCTAATAGTATTTTCAAATAAATTAACACATTTTTATAAAACAATATAATTCTAAGGATTATAAAGGATGGAAATTTTGACCACGTTCCAATTTTATTCAACTATACTGTATTCATCTTATCCCACAAATTTGGAAAAACAACAAAAGTTAACAGTGGTCTCATTAGCCTGTTTTGTTTTAGCAGCTGTTTGAGCCCCAGGAACCACAATACTGATGTTGTGTGTGTAGAGCATCCCACCACCTTAGCATCTGTGCAACAACAGTTACACAAGACTAGTATAGGTGGGTAGTGCTGAAACCACAGAAAGAACATCTTACTTAAAACATGGCAAAAAGTATTTTCACACAGATAAGATAACCCTCTTCCACAACAGACCCTCATGCCATACAATCTACCCTCAAATGTTCTTGTGTATATCTTAGTGCAATTTCAGCTGGTATACACCCAGTGTCAATGACTACACACATTCTTCAGACTGCAATTTGTTGATGCATGCAAGCAGCTCGGAGTAGCTCATGGTTAATGTAATTCGACAGTGTAACGTGAACTGCATGTTCCCCAAGAGATTTACAACTTATAATGGCATGTATAGTAGTTAGACATGGTTCAAAGGTCAATGAAACAAAATTCAAATATAAATACATGTATACTGTTATGAGTTTAAAGCTATTTAGGATAAATGAATGTAGTTTCATGCTACATTTGAAGCCATTCTAGAAAGAAAAAATGGTACTTTAGATTAATTTAGATTTTTTTTCGGTGGTTACGAAGTCAGTCAAATCGACCAACCTTGTGCAGAGTTGGGGTGGAGAAAATAACAGCTAAAATATAAAGTTTTACTGAAAACAGACATCTGAAATGTATTCAGGAGATTTTACAGATTACACAAATGAAATTTGAGATTTTTGAGATGAAGAAGAGTATTTTTAATCTCAAGACGAAAATCACTTTGAACACAGACTTTTCAAAACAAATACTCCATATATTGAAGGACAAATCCATTTTTAGTTTGTTAAAAATACTTCAATAAAAAATATGATTTTTTATATGTGAAAGACTTGTAATGTTCACTGAAAGGCTGCCAAATTTTGTGGAGATATACATACTATATTAAAAGTTAGTAGTGTCAAATCCATAAGGACTTTGAACGAGTACAAAGAGGTCGTGTTCGCTCAAATTGCCTGAGCCTTTGTTGAGAGAATTAAGCATATCTTCACAATATTTAGTAAGTTTTTAGTAAAGATTACAAGTACAATGTACATAAAATTTCTGGATTTTTAATAAAGAATTTTTCTAAAGATCTGTCTGTCAATTTACAGTCATTATGACCCAGAGAACAAGGTGATTTTCATGTTAAGAATAGAAATACATTTTTCATCTTGTAGCTTTTATATTTCAGTTGCATAATATCTAGGACCTTCTAAATGAATACCAAAAGCTTGTTTTTGCAGTAAAACATTATAATTGTTATTTTCTCTATCCTAACACTAACTGTAGCAAAATCCGAAAAATGAAAACTGGAAAAATATTAAATAAATCACTTATTTTCTTTCTAGAATGACTACATAAAAGCAAATTGCATACTATTTATTCTTTTATCCAAAACTACAAGACTTCAAATCTAGGTTAATTTACTAGTATTACTTTACTGCTGCACTTAAACCCTTTAAGAGTATGCAAAAAGCTATTTGTAACAGTCCAAAAATTATTTATCATCGTAGGACAACTTTGTGTAAACATATGATTGAGTTACCATTACAGACAACAAATTATGTCAAAATCATGTCTCGTACTATCACAGAAAATTTATGTAATTTTTGTTTCATTTAAATTTCATATCTAACCTAGTAAGTTTTTAATTTATACATTTTAGTTAATTTTATTACAATAGATAAAAAATATACATAAAAAGCAAGAAATTTAGTACTTGCATCTAAGCTTTTGTCTTTTTGTTTTCGAGCCACCAACAAAACATAACCCTACTACCTTATGACAATACTGATAATATATAAAATAATTTTTATTCATTTTACGTATACAATTTATAACAGAAAATATTATCGTGAACAAAATACGGAATGACTTAAAACTACTATAATTTCACTGGCTTCCTAACTAAGCTATAAATGAGTTATAAAAAAAATTCTATTAACTGGTCAAGCAGATCTCCAGAATACTACACAATAAAATGGAGGCCAAACAATTCAAAACGTGTCATTAGAATGAACTAGCCCTGTAGAGAAGTAACTAAATTAGAACCTTCTGTATCTATTGGTTATAAATAATCCAACAATAAATATGAAATTGAATTGACATTTTTTAAAAATAGGATGTGATAGGACAGGCATGGCATGTAGGTTTGACTTTCTTGTTTTTACCTCAGTAATTCAAGAAGTTTACTTTTGGCTTAGCAATATCTATATCATAAGTGTGTAATATATTCCAAACTCAGAAAATCATATAGGGGTAGAAAGAAAATATAAAATGAGCAACTTGCAGTGAAGAACAGTCACACGAAACAGAGATGTGAAGATTAATAATTTAATATTAAAGGTTAAAATTGTGTAAATATAAATAATCAAAATATTC